TAACACCACATTTCGAACGCTTCTAACCTTTTCTTTTCCGCCGCTCCCACTGTCCATGTTTCACACCCGTACAACGCCGTGCTCCAAACATACACCTTTAACAACCTTTTTCGAATTTCTAAATTAACCGTTCGTGAGCATAGAAGAGACTTCTTTTTATTAAAGGCGACACGACCCTGCGCTATCCTCTGCTTTATATTTCTACTACTCCTTCCATTCTCACTTATGTGCATGGTATTCGGTTAAAATTAACAAAATTTGGGTTAGTTAAAAACCATAGATAGTTAATATTAAATTACGATTTTGAAAAATCCCCTGTAATCAATTTTGTGACATTTCCGAACTGTTTTACTTAAAATAACGATAAAAACCAGTTCTTTCGCAAATAGATAAGTCGGGAAATTCCAACGCGGAAAATTCCCTAAACCCACAACTAATGCACCCGGTACAAATGACTATTTCCCATGAGTAATTCGTCCTGTATGTACGTTTCACCTGTAGTTGTTTCTTAAACTATTAAATAAATCTATCTACAGCCGCAGCTTTTAGGGTAAGAAAATTTTATAACGTAAAAACATTATATTGGGAGAGGGTTCGCGCATCTGGATTAAAGTATAATAAAAAATGTTTGTGGTGGGACTGTCTGTCGCCAGTGTATGTGAGACGAATCTATTTCGGGGGAAAGTTTTGTTGCTTTTCCGTTTCAGCCCTGCAGATATTTGCTCTTGTGTCGACCAACCGTTTGTTATCGTTATCGTTATATCAGTATAAATGGGACAGTTGAATTAAGCCCATACTGAGATAAATTCCAGCAATATTTCAATGAAATTTATTAATTTAACTTGCGACATAACTCTTTCTACTTTTTCAACAATTAAATTTTCAAATGAATATTAAAGATGCTAATTTAGAGTTAAATCGTTAGTACCACCCAGGAAGGCTATAGATAAGGGGTCCAATCTATATAAAGTATGATATCTGAATTTCAAAAATTGATATCAAATCTATTCTACTTGAAACATCAAACAAAACGCTCACAAGCTAGTGGAACAAGAAGGATAAGTGTAAGCGCTGTGAGCACTTAGTGCAGCGCCGGGCAAACTCGGCTCTTTTGACTCCCGAGTGCTCCTCATTGATCCTGCGAGTGCGAGTGAGATGATTCTTTCCTTTTCTTATCCCTTCCATTTCGTAGGTGAGTCCCCTCTTCCATAGTTAAACCCAGTGGTATTGCGAACGAAAATTTTCGTAGGTATTATTTAAGTTGCGAGAGAGGCTTCGCTCGTCTACGGGATGAAGGGGCTTGATATGGGAGTGGAAAGGAGAAGAAAAAGAGAAAGCAATACGGGTCATTACTGCTGACTCTCTAGTACTCATTGAAGGATATGGAGTGACTCAAACTAACCTCAGGTAGCGGCTCCTATGAAGTTAAGGTTTGCCCGGTCCTGACTTAGTGGAACGTACTCTTAGTGTCTCACATTTTAACTGGAAGTATTTGTTGCATTTTACCTATACATATGTAGTGTAATTTATCTATTCCTAGTTTTCCCTTAAAAAAATTTTGGTTTTGTAGTTAAATATTGTTCTTTTCAGGACCGGTAAATTGCATTATCCAACCAATGTTTGTGGGCCTCTTTTCGAAGAAGAATTAGAATTTTGGGGATTGGATTCCAACCAGGTTGAACCTTGTTGTTGGAGTACCTACAGTATACATAGAGATACACAGGTATGTACAACACATTATACAGTACAGATTTTATAGACGAAATCCTACACGATAGGGATAGGGATGGTCAACATATTTTCAAAGAGCGTTTTCATTATCAGTTTTGTGTTTTAAACAGTTGGACCAATTTTACTAAAACGGTTCTCATTGTATATCTAACGAAAATTCTTTATATGTATAAGTAACGGAAGAAATCGCTGGACTGCTTGAGTTTTCTTAATGATTTATACATTTATACAACCTTCGACGAGGTACTAAATACGTCACTTTATTGATATGCAGATTGCATTAAATAATGAAAAAGAAAATTGTAAATATTATAGTCATGTCAAAGCACTAAACTTGAACCATACGTTGAACAAATATAACACGTTTGTAAAGCACCGATAATCGTTAGACTCTAAAAATAGAAACGTTTAAAACTTTGCGGAATTATTGAAATGTTTGATCACATGCCAATAGATGTATTTCACAGTTATAATAAATTTCTATATGATCTTGACGGATTTGCATGCTTTAAAATCATCAGGGTAGTTTCAGTCGTATTTTTGCAATCAGTCTTAAGAAAACTTTAAATGTGTGTATGTATAAACATTTAAGTAATTCTTTAAACGTGTTTAAAAAAGTTTATTTATCTAACAATAACTAAAGAATTTGTAGAAATGGATAATTTGCTATATGTCATACATTTTCTGATGACAAAGTCTCCTAAAAACGATCAGCAAATATCATGCTCATCTGCAGTGTTTTGTCATCATAATCAGTCCTAAGACTGGTTGGATACCTATCTCCACTCTTTCCACTCCTGAGCTCATCTCTGCATTTCCAGCTAACACTAGAACATCCCACTTATTTAACTATTTATAAATAGTAATCCAATCTATCTATCTCGCCTATTCTCCTACTCTTTCTAATATCTCTTGATTTCCAACCATGTCTATCCACTGTGTCCTCATCGTTCGCCTGATGTTATATCATAATAATCACTAATAAAAAGCAAAAACAGAAACTCTCTATATCGAACGAGGTTCAGAGCCTGGCCGAGTCTAAATTCGTTCCCACTGAACAGATATTAATAAATCTAAGGGTGCAAATAAATCTCAGCACGAACATGTCCGAGGAGGAATAAATAGATTATCTTGGAGAACTTTAAACGAAGACAATGCGCTATATTTTATTTTACTTCATATTCATCTAAAACGCAAACGAGGTAAGAATGCCCTACATCAAATCAAATTTTATTTGAAGTAAGTACTTGAAACGAATAGAGTCCGAACATCCTCGATAAGCACCTCAATGTACATTGTTATTGTATGAATATTAGGTGGAAACGCCAATTTAATATTGTATATGCATTACTTCTTCAAATTATCATCATAAGGTCGTCAGTCTTAAGACTGATTGGACACACACCTCCACTCTTTCCTATCCTGAGCTAAAACTATAACAACCCATATCCTTAACTATTTGCGAACAGTAATTTAACCTATGTTTACCTCTACCCCTCATAACTCTCGTTTCTGTCTCTAATATGTCTCTAACTAGACCTTCATGCCTGAGGTGTCCTACCAGCCTATCTCGCCTATTTCTTGTTAACTTCCATAGTCCTCTGTTCTCCTATTCTTTCTAAAACCTCTTCATTTCTAACCTTCTCTATACACGGTATCCTCATCATTCGCCAGTAACACCACATTTTGATCGCTTCTAACCTTTTCTTTTCCGCAGCGCCCACCGTCCATGTTTCGCACCCATACAGTGCCGATCTCCAAACGTACATTTTTAACAATCCTTTTCGAATTTCTAAATTAACAGTTCGCGACCATGGAAGTGACTTCTTTTTATTGAAAGCGACTCTACCCTGCACTATCCTCTACTTTATATCCCTACTACTCCTTCCATCCTAACTTATCTGACCTAGATATCTAAAATCAGCCACTTCTAATTTTTCGTCTCCTATCTTAATATTCGCTCTATCCTTACTTTTTCTTCCCTTGCATATCAGTATTTTTGTTTTACTTTTATTTATTTTCATAGAGTACTGTTTTGTCAATACAGCTTCCATTTTATTTAAAGCTACCTCTAACTCCTCCTTGCTAGATGCTAATACTGCTATATCATCTGCAAATCTAAGCATACTAATCTTTTGCCCCTGTATATCTATCCCTACAGTTGTATTGTCTTTAATGATGTCGATCGCGTCTTCGAAATATCGTTACAATCGACGAGTGAATAATGTATGCTATACAAAAAAAATCAGGAGAGAGTTTCTGGTAAATGTATATGGTTGGAGTTTGGTAGCTGCAATCAAAGTGATCTGGGCTTTTCTTTGAGAAAAATTCCACGTTAAAAATTTATTTCCACTTTAAGTACCTACCTATCTGTAATGTTCCCGTTGATTCGAGATGCCAGTAGGTAGGCAACTTAGATCCACTTAAATTTTGTTCCACGTTTCGTTTCTGGAAATGTTAAACCTAAAAAGGATTACATTTTCGAGCGATTGCGTTTCAAACGTGAAACATGGAGGGGCTTTTCCGAAAGAGAACGCGAAGGAAATAGAATTATTCGCGTCATCTATCCCGATTCGATTTCGGCAGAACGATGAAGTCGGTGCTTTTGAAAGGAAAAGTTGGCTGCGTACCAGAAAAGTTCGAACCTATAACAAACTTTTTAATGAACAAAAAAGCTTTAGAACAAGCAATAAATAATTTAAAACTGTTTAACGACTAAATTTTGAAAAACTTCGATTTTGAGCGATACCATAATGGAAGCAATTAGTGCCTTTTCTTGTTTTATCTTACATTGCGGCTCATAGGTAACACATTATCTACTGAGAATTTTAGAAGAATCTTTGTAGGGTTTTCAGTACATTAAAGTGAACTAATTTTATAATTAACTAGTGACCCGCACTAGCTTCGCACGGGTGCAATGCTGATACTAAATATATTTTTGTTTTGTTTAGATTATTATCGAAAAGGGGAAATCTTCAAAAGATACCCCCTGAACATACTAAATATACTACAGAATGTCTTTATATACAACATTCACAGTTTTTTTGTCATTAGACAATACAAACCGGCCTCCCGGCCGGTACAGCCGCAACCGCTATGTCCCTGCATTTTAAATCTGTAATATCTTCGAAAATATTCATTTAAATTACATGCTGTAAAGGGCCATATTGATCTATATTAAATGCACAATGTATTTAAGGTACTTAATTGGATAAGAATTAATGCTGTATTGCCTACAATCGCTTCGTAAATAAGTCATTATTTCTCATAAAAAGTAAAGGATAAAAATGGTTATTGTGGGTTATCCCTAAGAGATAGACATATACCATCCCGGACTTTTTTGTAGACCCTTTTAAGATGTACAATATTGTAGTACATTATTTTGATCTATCTCGTAGGGTTCAGCCAGCGTTTGCAATGTAAGCGCAAAAAATGTGTTTATTTACGACATCACATTAGAAACCCCTAAAATTATCAGTGTTTCCCTACTATATTATGCATGTATTATACATATAAACCTTCCTCTTGAATCACTCTATCTAACCGAAGAAAAATGTAAGCAAAACCTTCACTTTCGACCTAACTTGACGCGCTCTTTTCGGCCTTGCCTCGTGTGGCAGCTTCCATAGCAATGATTGAGCTTTGGATCTCCACGTATTAACCATAAACCCATGATTCGTCACCAGTTATGATCCTTTGGAGCAAATCTGGGCCATCGCGGAGAGAGTCCAACAGCTCCTTAGCAATGTTAATGTGATGCTGTTTTTGGTCGAAATTGAGCAATTTTAGTAAGAATTTCGCGGCGCCCCGTTCAATGACCAAATCATTGGTAAAAATCGAATGGCAGGAGCTAATAGATATATTTAGGTCCTTAGCAACTTCTCTAACGGTGATTCAACGATTGGTCAATACTATTTTCTTCATTTCATCAATGTTTTCGTCTGTTGTTGACGTGCTCTGGCGTCCGGCACGTTCTTCGTCGTTCACATCTTCTCCGCCCTGTGAGAGCATTTTCTACCACCGACAAACGTTGCTTCGGTCTAAAGTAGCTTCACCATATGCCACAGTCAACATTCGGAATGCGATCGCGCACTTAATTTTGTTTCTCATACAAAATTTGGTACAGATTCTTTGATCCATTTTTAGGAATAGGCAAAAATCGAAGACGAGCCGAAACTAGCGCAAGTAAAGCAGTTGTCAAAAATTAACTGAATAGTCAATATAGCAGACCTTATCGGTATAAGTGAGACACATGAGTACCACTATAACGCCACAAAAAAAAATCGAAAATCGAATATACGCAACCCGCGGAAATTCGAAATTTCCGATACTTTTTGAACAGACCTCGCACTTTCTATAACTTTCCTATCAGTTTTGTCCCATAGGAATTGATTCATAATAATGGTTAAGTGCGTGAATGTTTTCACATTTTTTGTTAGAAGCAAATATATTTAACGAGACACAAGCTGTTCTGCTTTGAACAAAACGTCACTAATTTAAAAAGGAGTTGGAGATTCAAATCAATAAAAAAACTGCCATAACTTCCTTGAGGGAATTTTATGTATTGGTGCATTTTGCTCGTTGTTTAAGAAAGTAACTTGTTTAGTGGAAATTTGTAACTTGTGTTTTAAATTTCATTACAGCAGTCACGTCGAATCGTTCCAACCAACTCGTTTAAGAGCAACCGTCGAACTCAATGCGCTCAGCGATTCGAATCGAGGATATAGAAAGCGCAAATAAACGATATTATTGGTTGCCGGGGCCATTAATTTAACATTTGCGAACACAATTTGTAGCACCCTTTCTTAATAAAGTTCGTGTTTGCAATGTTTTTTATTATTTCGACTATTGTAGGTTCTTTTCTCAATTGCAATGCCGATACTAACTATCGAATTAACGAATTGTATTAAGAATAGAAAAACAACTTGGCATTAAATTCACAAGCTATATTGAAATTTACCACATGCATTAAGGAATTTGACCCCTGTTCCTGTTAATGTTACATTATTCTGTATACAATGAAACGCACTGCCAGTTCTAAATATTGTAAAGAGCACGAGTGTGTTTGTGTGCGATCGGGTACACATGTGTGTGAACGGCTTATCGATTCGTCGAATAGCCGCGGGCGCCTTTCTTCATGTGCGCCGTATTTGTAAATGTGTGGGTCGTACCTGCGTTCTGGGAAAGCAGTTAAACAGTTTAAAGAAAGAAGAAACTATCCGGATGATTCGAGAAGGCTCCCGAAAGTAAACAAAAGAGTATTTAAAGGAAAAGACGATCGCCGAGAGGAAGTAGAATTAAATTGACCGTTGCAGAAGTGAATCCAGAAATAAATTGATCGCGATAGCAGTGAAATAAATAGCGCATTGAATAGCGATATATCAACAGTAGTGTAAATAAATAGGATAATTCATAACCTAAGTTTAGTAATAATTTAATAGTGTTTTTAAGTTATTTAATAATTAGTNACGCTGGGATTCGTTTTCAGCAAGTAGATATCCACACAAGTGGACCTTGTTGGAGCATACGTAATCCTAAAATGTAGCATCGTGCTACAGATGACGTTCACTGCGCCATTTGTAGTATTTTCTAAAAGTAATAATGTTCCACAGATAATTTTTTACATCTCTTCGGACTGTTCATTTCAGCTGTCTTTCCTACCCAATCACCATTACAATATTTACACACCTTATGCCATCTTTTCATAGATATAATAAAGTAATATAAATCCAGCAAATGCAGTTTATAATACTTATAATAATAATCTAATAATAATGTTCAGAAAGGATCTAATGTTTTAAAGGATTAATGGAATAAGTTGTTTCATCCTCTTCTTCATCCTTCCTTCCGATATAATAACCTTTGTATTAAATGATGTCTGAAAGTGTTCCAATCTACATTTTCAAGCATGTCAGAAACTCTTAAAGATAAATGAAAATTAATAGTAGATTTCGAAGAGGGTAAAGTTGCACCCTTGTGAACCATTTTAGAAAAATTCGATAATTCAGCAAGACACATCAAAGCTAAATAACGATAAAACTGTTTGTTTTAGGCAACCTTGGCAATATTGGATAAATTGGATATTGATACGGAAAAACCATCCGACGAAGATATAGCACGTAGATTTGGGTATGAAGAGGCCTACCTGACAGGAACTCTCACAAGATGGCAGAGATTCAAACCCAAAATATGGTCGCTGTTTGACGAACCCTACTCTTCAAGTTATGCTAAGGTATGTTAATTTTAACGTTTAATTTTGCAATTTTCAAAGAATCCACAGTGGTGTTGCAATAAATGATTATGTGATATATTATAGACGAATATTATTTTGATTACTTATAGACTTTAATAGAGGAGGTCATCAGTCCTAAGACTGGTTGGACACGCACCTCCATTGTTTTCTATCCTGAGCTAATCTTCACATTTTCCTAAAGCTAGAACAGCCCATATCCTCAACTATTTGCGAACAGTAATTTAATCTAGGTCTACCTCTACCCCTCTTAACTCCCATATCTGCCTCTAATATGTCTCTGAGTAGACCTTCATGCCTGAGAAGGTGTCCTACCAACCTGTCTCGCATATTTCTTATTGACTTCCATAGAGTCTATCTGAGAGTAGAGTCCTCTGTCCTCCTATTCTTTCTAATACCTCTTCATTTCTAACCTTCTCTAGCCACAATATCCTTATCATTCGCCTGTAACACCACATTTCGAACGCTTCTAATCTTTACTTTTCCGTCGCGCCCACTGTCAATATTTCGCACCCGCTCGGCGCCGTGCTCCAAACATTTACCTTCAACAACCTTTTTTGAATTTCTAAATTAACCTCCACTTCTTCCTATCCTGAGCTAATCTTCGCATTTCTCTAAAACTAGAACATCTCACATCCTTAACTATTTGCGAATAGTTATCTAATCTAGGTCGACCTCTATTCCTCTTAACTCCTGTTTCTGTCTCTAATACGTCTTTGGTTAGCCCTTCATGCCTGAGAAGATGTCCTACCAACCTATCTCCCCTATTTCTTTTATTGACTTCCCTAGAGTCCTCTGTTCTCCTATTCTTTTCAATACCTCTTCATTTCTGATCTTCTCTATCCACGGTATCCTTATTTAATCATTCGCGAGCACGGAAGTGACTTCTTTTTATTGAAGACGACTCAACTCTGCGCTATCCTCTGCTTTATATCCCTACTACTCTTTCCGTCCTGGCTTATCTGACTTCCTAGATACCTAAAATCAGTCACTTCTTCTATTCTTTCGTCTCCTATGTTTACATTCGCTCTTTCCCTACTTTGTCTTCCCTTGCATATCAGTATTTTTGTTTTACTTTTATTTATTTTCATACAGCGCTGTTTTGTCAATACCGCTTCCATTTTACTTAAAGCTGTTTATCTTTAATTGAGAAGGTGAGAATAAAGAAAAATACTGCTCAACTTATGGAATTAATCAGTTCAACTTTGAGTGAACATTTTGTGTGTTATTCTGTAGTAAAAAAGTGGTTTGATGGAAATTTTAGTCTCCAGGCCTCTCCTCGTCTAGGTGCAATAAAAGAATTTCAATATGAAGAACTCCTTGTTGCTAGACTCAAGAACAGCTTGCAGAACAGTTTTAGTGGTTACTAATCGGCAGTATCACTTCTGTTAATACAGGCAATGGGAATGATACAGAAGGAAAATGAGTACCTCACAGACTGACTGAAGAAAACAAACATCGAAGAGTTGGCATTTGCATGAATTTTCCCGGTACAAAACAAAGAATTTCTAGCACAAAGTCATTACGGGTGACGAAATGTGGATTCCATACGAGCATCCTAAACGCAAGGAATCATGTACTGATCCAGATAGTCATCACCATTAATTGCAAAACAGAATATTCATGTCAAGAATGTGTTACTGTATGTCTGGTGAGATTGCAAAGGAGTCATTCGTGACGAGTTTCTGGAACCAGATGAAACTGAGGCTCAGTTGCTCAAATCAAGTGATGCTCTGGAAATTCTTTAATCCTTAGAGAGAACGTTGCTTCTTAAACTTCCTGCTTCCTTCATGACTTTTACTGAACGGCAAGGTCTACGATTTAGACCATAGGTTAGCATTCCAAAGGACACCTGTTCGATTTCAGGTTCGTCTGTCCTGCTCCAAGTTGTTCTGGGGTTTCTTTGGATCTGGGATCACTTATTAGGCAATTGCTGAGGCAGTAATCATATTAAAATAATTCGAATAACGCCAGACGCGGATCGCGATTTCGATCTTTTTGGATCTCATCAGCGCGTAGCAGTTTCGACAGAATACAGACCACTTCGAATTATTTTATTCGATTAAGCTAACCTGCCTATCATGTTAAGGTTAGCTACGCTGGGATTCGTTTTCAGCAAGTAGATATCCACACAAGTGGACCTTGTTGGAGCATACGTAATCCTAAAATGTAGCATCGTGCTACAGATGACGTTCACTGCGCCATTTGTAGTATTTTCTAAAAGTAATAATGTTCCACAGATAATTTTTTACATCTCTTCGGACTGTTCATTTCAGCTGTCTTTCCTACCCAATCACCATTCACTCCTTCCTGTTATTCCACATAAAACCTTTTACTCTTTCTCCTGTCTTCATTTTATCCGCCTCATCTTTCTCACCCGAGCCATCACACTACCCACTCCCACATTCCTAAAAGGAGAGACTAAAGCCCCCCCCCTCGGCCCTACTTTCCGCCGTAATCCGGAGGAACTGTCCGTCCACCAGCTTAAGAAGCTGGTGGGAATGAAACATCCAAACGTTGATAGAGTATCTTTCCTACAGATGAATTTCGCGATGTTGAGTTACATTGCGAGATTCGTACAATTGAACTGAAGAAATACATTTTTATAATTAAATTGCTTCTATTTTCTCAAAAATTAATTGTCTCTCCTCACTTTATTGGTAGGATATTTTCTAAAACTAATTGTGCTTCTTAAAGTGGTTTAAAAATTCTCGTATTATTGTGTGTGAAAACTGAAACTTTTAAAAATTCTCTGGACTTTACCTAACCTAATTCCGTTCAGTAGAAATTGAGAAAGTTACTGAAATGTGTGTCCGCAAGAGAGAATAAAAATGTAATTTAGTTTAATCTACACGACTGCTATTTCTATCTACTTATTTGAATTAAGAACTTTTTTATCTTGTTTAAATTAAAGTACTTTTTTCTTCTTTATAGAAGCAGCCTGTAAAAATTTTAATATTATTTCTTTGGCAGAAATGAGAAAATCTTAAGGTTCTATTGTGAGTGGGCTTATGTAATAAAACAAACTGCCTTGATGAAAAGGGATTCAAAACAGCCATTAGATATATAATAAAATGTGACCGCGGGGTCTTAATGGACCACTTCTTACAAATAACATCAACCCTTAATGAAAAGTATACAATACAGTAGGTACCTATATATTTTCCAAAACGTTCTGCCATTCACTTGTCAAATTCCACTAAAGAAACCAATTTAACGTTAAATTAAGTCATGGCAACGTGGAAAACGAAAACATTTTTAATACATTTACGATAAGAAATCTTCAAGAAAACAATTTTACACCTGTTTTTGCTATGTTTGTTGTTGACATTTGAAACTGTAAGGAAAATCTTTCTGCAAATAGGCAGTGAAAAAAGCAATTTCCTTTTTTGTAACTAATTCCAGAGCGAAGCATAAATTAAAAATCTGTCTTCTACATAGCCAATCTTTTTTTTTTGTGAAACATCTAGAACCCACGTACCTCCACCTCATTCCATATTGAGTCAATTCTCTTATTTCTCTAAAACTAGAACATACTATAACTCCTTTTTTGTTTCTTATGATCACAAATAAATTAAAATGTGAACAACAACATTTAAAATTCAATCTGGAATTCGCTTTTTAAAAGGCCGATGCGCAGTGTGGCTGTGCGCACCCGATTTAAGCCATAGACAAGAAGATACTACGTGTTTTCTTTTATTGTTTTCACTACCATTCGTAGATGCGCATTGTTTCACATGACACATTTTGTAGACCCATTTGCTTTAGTTTTTCCTCCTTCTGGTCGTCTTGGTATTTGCAACTAATGTAGATTCTTGGTGGCCAATCAATAACAAATGGTTTTTGATATTTAAATTTGTACTAACTGGATAATCGCACAATAATTAGATACATATATGCATATTTTGCTACTAGATTTCCAACTCTCTATATATCGACTTGTAAAGACAATCGAGACTCATGTCTCTAATGCCGACTTCATAATATAACCTACTTTGACCGAAAAAAGAAAACAGATAAGGGCATTGGTCCTAGCACTTGAGAAAAGTAGGCCGTTTGGAGATTGATTACTGCGGCAATAAACTACGATGTTTTACGTAAGTCGACGAATTTCCGGACACAACATTATCTATATCCAATTATTCTCGGCACTTCCGTTCTTTGTAAATTTAGCTTTCCAAAGTTTGCATTCCTAATTAATTGCCACCTGAATTAACAACGGAGATTGTTAGTTGAATGGATCACAGCACCGACACCTTCGAGCCCACCCTGATGACAATAACGAACAAGAAGGAATACATTATTTGCATAACGGGGCATCAGTTATAGCGTTGATTAGAAAAGATATGTACAATTGAAAAGCTAAATGTCACATATTTTATATTGTTATTTATAATAATTTACTTATGGTGCAATGCATTAGTGGGTTGTGTTTTTAAATTAACTTTAACCACTAGAGATAACCTCAAATTAATGATGAAAAATAGTTGCGGCTGTCACTCCCTCGCCGGGAATTGAACCTAGGTCCCTGGTTTTACGCACTAGTACTCTATCACTAAAGCAACAACACCAACATATTGTGCTACTGTCAGCTCTTTGTAGTTTAGTGGTAGAGTACTGATACGTAAAACCAGCGGCTCGGGTTCGAATCTCGGCGAGGGAGTGAAAGCAACAACAATTTTTCCTCATTAATTTGAGGTTATTTGTAATTAGTAACATTAATTCAATATTGCATTGAGTTTAACCTTACAAAAATCCAAAAGTCTCATCACTTATGATAACTTAACCTAACCAAACCTTACCTAACCTTACAAAAATCCAAAAGTCTCATCACTTATGATAACTTAACCTAACCTAACCTAACCTAACCTTACAAAAATCCAAAAGTCTCATCACTTATGATAACTTAACCTAACCTAACCTAACCTAACCTTACAAAAATCCAAAAGTCTCATCACTTATGATAACTTAACCTAACCTAA